CCCCCCTCCCCCCGATACTATAGACGGATTTTGAACAGAAGGCAATGGCCGTATAATTTACTATTCTTAGGCATTCCTTATCTTTGGTATGTCGTAAATCAATGCCATGGGATGACCATAAGCACAAAGCTTCATTGATTATTAAATTTGATCTTAGGGTTAATGCCAATGAAAGTGCTATAAGTTGAAATTAAAAGGTACACGCAGTAAGCCTACTGAGGAACGACGACAAGGCATTGAGTTTGAAAAGAAGTTTTGCCAAGTGGAATTGTTGTAAAAAGATCAAAACCAAAATATGGGTGGAATCAAGAGCAGTACATTACAACTAAGAAGGGGGAAAAGACAGGGTGGTGAGATTAGTAAATAAGAGTTGGCTACTAAGATGGGCAGTAAAGCCATTTTAAAATGTGAAACTTTAGAATAACCTAGAGTGTTTATGGTACCAGATGACACTGATAAATGCATATTTACTTTTAAACCGAGAATTAAAAGATGTAAAGACGGAGTGAAGAGAACGATGAAGTGAGAGAATAATTCAGGAACCCATTAATTATAGAAGTTGGTTAAAATTGAAGAGAGAGAGGGAGAGAATATACGCTTTATGGTAAGTGTAAACTAAGATTTAGTTATCATGCCCAACTGACTCCATAATTAGAACAAAAAACTGACCGTGACACAGAAACCACGTGATATTGGAAGAGGTGAATGGAATTTCAAATGCAGTCGGAAAAAGTACAAGTTGCGAATATAGAGAACATAATTAGCTTCTGGAATTTCAACTTTACGACGTCATAGGCAGCAGCCAGACGTACGATACTGAAAACCACTGAACAATAACAGAAGTGAAAATGGAAAGAGATAGGAATTATTTTTAATGTGGAGAACCGAATAAAAATGATAAAAAATCAGTAGTTAAAATAATTTCACTCTTTAAAACACCTTTTCATTTAAGTTGGTTTGTAGAAGTTAGGATAATCTCACACAATTTGTATTTTCGTATGATTCCTTCTAATATCTTGAAGTTAGGTCATAAGGTAGGGGCAAGCTATCAAAACTGCAGATAGGGTGAAATAATGTTCAAAAGAAGTTAATCATAAACTACCGTATTTGCAACAAAATAACAGGGCGAAAAAAATAAGTTTGAATTTTATAAGTTCATTAATGAACAAAAGGTTGCTTATGGGGGGGGGGGGGGAACGAAACCCAAGACAAAGAAAACAAATCAAATTAGAAGGGAGGAGGGGTGGGGCGGAGGGGGGTTACACAAGCCCCTCCAAAGTGGTAATTATTCAAATCCACGAGCCTCAAACAACAAATTCAAGAAAAATAATTAAACTGAAAATTAGATCCCACTGATGCATTGACAAAGAGTATTCAGAAAGCAAAGTCAAGTGAACAAGCTCACAGGTCGCTAATTCGATGCCAATGCGTGCACATGAAGTGAATTGTGCAACCAAATCAATACTTTTACTATATTGCTATACCCAGAATAAGAGTAGAATTTTTTTCGATTGGTCTTGAGAAGAAAATTTAAAAGATAAGAAACCAGAGAAGAGGACATGCATCAACGTGAATGTCACTTTAGAGTTTGCCTTTATCAAATTAGGGAAACAATAAATAGCGACTATGCACTTCAAATAGAAAAAAGCTCACAAAATTAAATACCTAACTTCAGGATCATATTATCATAAAGCTACATCATTTAAAGCTAACTAAGTGTTTGCTTATAAAGTGGAATGAATCAAGAATAACACACTCTCATAAACAGGCGCGTGGATAAAAAAATCACACACATACAGATAGAACCTACTATAAGACACCTACTCGCTTTGTCTGTTAATAAGTTTGATTGGGTGTAATAATTAGAAGTACATAGTATCCACATCTTCAATGGGTTACAAGGAACAAACTAACTGAATTAACATTAAATAAGTGGCAAATACATGTGTGAACGAACCGTGTGATTCATAGGCATCGGTACTTCCATCGAGGTCATCTAAGTCATTTATAATACTGTCCAATTTGGTGAGGTTCTCTTGTAGAGGACGACGGGGAAAGCTAGAACTAGTCCGGGATGGTCTTTTTACATCTGCGAATTTGTTCGAATTCGAGGTAGACCAAAATGTAGAACCGACAGCACTAGCGTCGTTTGTATAGGGAGTGGTAGGAGGGGGATTCCTCTGAAGGACATTCTGTTTGGTTAATCGTAAATCCTCAAGTAAAGCGTCTATTGTGGAAAAATTATAAATCACGGTAATACAACATTATTCGGATGTAAAATGATCTGCTTTCAGGATTTTACAAAAACTCTTCATTATAGATGGCAAATAATTTTCATTGGTGTTTTAAAACACTAAGTGGGACTTCATGGCTTGGTGATAAATTTAATATTAAAATCAATAAAATAAGTATAATCAAAGAGCTGATGCGAATAAATACAAATAAATATCTGGTAAAAAAACGAAAATATCCAGAAGAAAATAGAAACAGATAACACTTAATGTAAGATTCTAAAACAGACCAAGATTTTCCATCACTGGAAAGCAAGAGTCGTAGCACCGCGCTCTGAGTTACATTAGTTCTACACCGCAAATAATGACCTTGATGTAAATTTTTATTTAGATAATAAAGAAAATAAACAATAAATTTAGGTATATTGTTATACGTAAAAGATAATTTATAAAAGAAAGGATAATAAATGTTATAACTTCCTAAAATGTTATTAGACGGATTTTTTTACTCGCTATTAATGCGCATTCCGACCACATTTTTATGGAATAGGCCGATTTTCATAAATTTATCTAAATGATATTGCTTTTGAAAGCTTATTTGTATAGTTCTGATGTATTTTTAAAAGTCGTTTAGAAAAATATATTCTTTGAAATGGGCAGGATTGATGCTTGGCTGTCGTGGGACTACAAAGCTCTTAACAGTGACAGTACTTAACTATAATAGTTATAGTATCTTCCTCCGTGGTTTATATGATAGCAGGTTTTTAAAATTCTTGATTTACCGTTTATTTTCTCAATGTGGGACTTATCAATTTTGAGTATTAAGATTTGATATTTAACATATTATAGCTAATTTAGCTATATTCATCCAGAAGTCTCCGATTTACAGTCGAGATAACGACAATGTATCTTCTTCATGCTAAACCTTCTTCTCAATCATCAGGTTCCATAGAGAATGAAAAAGATATATGCGTATATATATCAAGGGTTTTTTCGGTTTTACTTGGCCATTATAGCTAAAACAAACACCAAAATCAATTTCTGTCTCAAATGGTATTAATCAATGCCTTAAAAGAAATTAATCAAAATTGGTGAAGTGTTTTGAAAAAGGGTTTAATGTCTTTGCTCTATCGTAGGGAATATTGTTCTTTAGGCGCAATGACCAATTAGAATTAGCAGTGTCAATTTTTAATTTTTCAGATCTTAGAAAATTCAATGTGAATAATTCGAACAGGATTGTCATGAATTACGTAAAATTAAGTTTATTTGTTTTCGAAGTATTATTTTGATAATAAACAATTCATCGGCTCAAAGTAAAGGTTTTGCCTTCGGATATTGAATTTCCACTGTTTTCCCCAGTGTTCTCCATCTCGATTGACTAGAAGAGTGAATATATATCTCTCCTGACAACTTGACAGTTATTAAGTCAACAACAGTTTGAATTTGCCAGGGGTCTTAGGTTTAAATAATACGATGAAAACTGTCGTACCTGTTTGTGCTGACTCAAAGATTGGTTCTGTTCCTCAAGGTTTTGAACCCATACGGACTCAAATTAGGACAAAACTGTCAATTAAACGTATGCAATCATTCCAATGCCTAATTGTAGCCTACTTGGATTGGCTCTGGTATTTCGGATTTTCGGTCCCATTCTCGCTCTCACGCCTTTCCTTTCATGCTCATTTCAACTTTACCATTATGTGCTTGACCAACTCAACTATTGGTATTTACATAAGTTAAAAGATTTTGTGAACTATTACTCTTACAAAGTATGTTGCTTTATAGGAAGATGAGTTGTAAATGCCATTGTAGATAGGGTTTACATTGAACAAAAATGTCAAGGCACGAATATCGCTAGGACAGCGTGAGAGGATGGATAGGGGGAGGTGGGGACGATAAACTAAACTTTTTTAGATATTAAACACCAGTCATGTTTTGTTATCGACGAGAAGGTTACGATTTAGGGGTTATCTAACTCTAAACATCCGAATACATAGAGCTGTAACAACTATGGGTACTCTAATTAAGACCTTATCGCCACTCAATCGATTTGAATACCAATATTTAAGTGGCGTCTCTGTCAATATCAGGATTTATAACCTAAAGTGTTTGGGGTGTTAAAGTGTAGTTACTTGGGATTAAAGCTACCTTAGAATCTGATTGTACACAGAATGCCTGTATAAAGCTAGTGATATTAATCACAATTTATCGCATCCTTATTTTTGAGTTTGACTCAATTACCACCTAAAGATGACTAATGATAGACACGTAATAATGACAAATTGAATTTCAACAGAATAAAAGAGTTTTACCCGAGAGAAGTCGTAAAAATAGCTGAGATTCGGAATTTGATTGATCAATATTAAAGATGAAGTAAAAATATCACCGATTTTAACTAGTCATTTGAAGCGACATAGCAGAAAATGAAATTTATTGGGTTTACTTATTCTCCAACGCAATTGATTTTCACAGTTAAATGTTGCTCTTGACCATCACACGAACTAGACTATAATTGTCAAGCGTTTATATATATATATATATATATATATATATATCATAAGTCTATATATATACATATATATATGGACTTATGATTTAAATCAATTAATTACTCAAAAATATTTTCAGTCGAATTACGTATGCAATTCTTTTATTTCCTTTCACAAATATTAGTTATAACATGCGTAAGTCACATAATTAGTGAAGAATGAAAGTTTTATACCAAAGCTCCTATTAGATATAGTAAGGATCATACGTCTTTATATGACAAAAGCAAACCAAAATTTCATAATAAAAGAATTCTGATTTAGATTATCTGGCTAATTAGTTACAAATTTATTTCCTTTAAATGAATCAATTGAAGGATTTCCAATCTCATTTACGGCGTTGATTGTACTGTATTTTGGTGGATTATTTAAAGGCACGCCTATTTTAATTCGGTGGTCACGATTTATGGAGTTTCGTAAGAATTCTCTCTCTTATCTTCCCACTGTCTAGATGATATCGAACCTCTTGTGATGTCAAACGGTGATAATTTATTGTCACCAAGCTTGATCCAACAAATTAATTCTCCAGATCTTGGTAAACACCTTTTGGATGCCGCAAGAAACGGCGATGTAGAACAGGTTAAGTTCCTTATTGCAAACGGGGCCACTTTTACAACAGACTGGGTATATCTTCTGTCATTAACGACTTTTACCATCTTTGCCTATTGATTCGAATTTTCCCAAATTTGTAGCTAGGGTTTTCTGCTCTACACTTTGCTGCAATGAATGGACATTTAACTACGTGTGAGGTGTTGCTCGAAGCAGGTTTCTGCAAAGATATTAGAACAAAAGTCGATCGTACTCCCCTTCATCTAGCAGCTCTTGAAGGTCATGCAGATATTGTTGAACTACTTCTGAAAAATGGCGCTGACATTCACGCCATCGATACAATGAAAATGACTCCTCTACACTGGGCAGCTGAACGTGGTCACACACCTGTAGTTAACGTTTTAATGGCTTACGGTGCTAATGAAAATATTGAGAACAAATTCGAATTAACACCCCATCAATTAGCTGATTTTCGAGAAAATATAGAAGCTCGTGATGCTATGAAGGTAAGTTATGCTTTTAACATATTGTGCAGGAAGATTCATAGACTTACTACCTTAACTTTGAATGTAGTTTAGGGGTTTCCCTTATACTGACATTCTATAACTGTCAGAGAAGTGTGGAAATCAGCATAGCGAAGTCGATATAATTTTATGTTTTTTGTCTAAATATACGTTTGAACAAGTTGATATATTTACAGCCAAAATTTAGTCATTCACAGAATTGTTTTACTACTTGAAGATTTGTTACACTCATTTCTAAGTTATAACATTATTTATTTATCTATTTGATTTATCTTGAGGGCACCTGAACTCAGGTGGATTCAAATAGAAATTAAAATTCAAAAGTTCCTTGCCTATTTCGCTGTAATGGTAATAATTTTTTAAGTTATCTGGATTGCCGACGAATACCTCTGTGGGTCGTATGGCAGCACCGAGTGAAGAACTAGCCGATCCCACTGCTTTTATAATTACCGATGAAGACGTCATAGTTCCTGCCGCCCCACCTGCGGATGAGGTTGTAATTTCAACCATCAATGAAGTTGTCTCCTCTCCTCAGCACATATCTCTTGAAGTCCCGGATGTGATTTTAGAAGAGGACGTAAAAGAAACCATTATTGGTTCCGACGGATTGGAAATGGTTGTGGAAGACCAAATTTCCTCCACCTCCGCCACTGGCGATTTTAGAGAGGAGATATCCTTTGAGAATATTGATGAATTAACTCTTTCAATGAAGGCATCACCCACCAGCCCCATTTCTCCAAGTCATCATCGCAGTGGAACTCCATCCGTAAGGCTTCGTTTCCTCTAATTTTACTTAAATTAGATTGCTTCAATTGAGACGCCAGACGGTAGACGACTTTTTCTTCGAGTGGAAAACGATGGCGCTGATGGTAATAGTAGTCCCAAGTTCAGCATATTTGATGAGGAAGGCAGAGAAATTCACGATGAGGAGATGGAACAGGAAATTGCTCAAACTTTGTTGCAACATGAAGATAGGTTGAAAGTGGAAGAAGAAGATCCTGCCACGACTAATCAGTAAGTGATTTTGTGTTTGTCCGCTAGATAAAATCGAAAGTGTACGTTGTAAAATTTGGGCAAGCAGACGGATAGCTACGGCAGAGAGAAAATAGTTGAAAGAATTGATAGAGAGCTTTGTCCATGGTATTTCGGGGTCACATGCTGCTGCTTTTCAAAACAATGTTTTAACTTGTCAGCGCTAGGGACAACAGTATTCATACTGGGTAATGGAAGTCCTTTTTGGATTTTTTTAACCTAAGACGGCTGTTTTATACGAACATTCGTATGCATTTGGTTGAGTTCCGTTGAGAGGCAAGTTTGCCGGTGGCTATTTTAGCCACAATAGTCCGGCCAAACCAAGGACTTCCTTGATCTAATCAATTTGCCTTTGCTCTGACTGCGTGTAAACTGTCTTCTTCGTTTGCAATGGAACCTTGTCTGTCTTTTTCAAGCAAAGTCTTCATTGTTGAGGCCTGGCTGCGAGGTTTCCCACAGCAGTCTTAAGGCCTCTCTTCTCGCAGTATTATGGGGTGGGGGGGGGGGGGTCTTTAGGGCTCTCTTGGAGTCCTCGTAATTTTTTATCTTTATTTTAAACCTTAACTAATTTGTCGTAATATAATTTGCGTTTAGTTATGAAAATCAATCTACTGCTCCTGATGGCGTCAACGATGACGACTTCTTTGCTGCTGACTTCATGCCTATTGATGATGGTGATGAAGATGATGGCCAGCTTTCGCTTCGAGAAATGATTGTGAAATTTGGGGAGGAACTTTCAGATGATATCTCCTGTCTTCGAATTCAAGGTTAGTTCCGATTGTCTCCTATTTGTGTTCCCCTCATTTACTCAGCATGTCATTAATTTAACTAATCTCTTCTGGTTTTCTAACGTATCCATTGGTTAGGGAAGTGTCTTACGCTAATACTGCAGCTATTAAATTTCTTTATGCATTTATTAGTACCTAAAACTGCTGACTACAATGTGGAAAGTTCTTTGGAGTTTGAATATTGGTTAATAGACCACCATATACTAACTAAATTAGTTTAAGGTGCCTAGAGCATTCATTCAGTGACCGTCGGTAAGATTTTTTGAGGTACAGTTGCAGTGGTATGCTGCTGGTACCTAAGTGAATTCCGGCATTGAGGCAGTTGTTGATGATTAAACGACTGTAGCGCTGATCGCAACACGTGGATTCAACTTCAAACTCCTTAAGAAAGTTACGCATTTGATGTTTTTTGTTGTTTAGATATTCCTGCCATGTCGTCGGTGGAAGATATTTTTAATTGGTTTGCCGAGTTGGATATTGATGTCATTGACTATGAATCCTTTGGCCAATTCAACATTTCCGTTCCTCGCCAAAATGGTTCACCATTACCACTACGATGCTCCTATGGTAAGATAGCCTCAGTCACTTATTCAATTGATGATTTTTGCTTGTTAGTTTATTTTAAATGTTCCCCTAACTCTTCTCTGAAGTGAGCGATTAGTGTTTTCTAATAGAACTATACATATACATATATATTTGTTTAAAAGCTGTGATAGGTTTCATTATTTGGTACAAACTTAGAGATCATGTACTGTTACTTCTTCACAAAGTTCTTTAAAGAGACCCATAGATTTGAGGATGATAAAATGGTATATGATCGCTCAGTCATCATTGTCTTTTTAAACCTTAAAATACGCCAATTTATTTAATAGTATATGCAAACCAATATTGTATACCAGCAATCACTCATGAGAACTGTAAGTCTTACAGGAGGCAAGAGTAATAAAATAATTTACCATTATCATGCATATCATTGTTTCATTAATAAAATAGTGTCACTCTTTGACCAAGAAACTAATCTAATTAATATTGGTTGGTTATTAAGGAGCAAGTAGAACTTAGCGATTGAGGAAAAAATAAATGCAAAACTTAATTAAATCTTAGTTTTTAATACGCGAAGCGTTTTTTTTCAAATGACAGACATTTCGATAGTTATCATTAGCCCTTAGCTGACTTCGGGTTTCACAGAAGGGAGGAAAATTCGACAGGGTAAAAGAAGAGCGATTCACAGATGTAAAAGAGACAGACACAAAGGTAGAAAAAAGGTGAGGCGAGTAATGTGTAAGTGGTGGAATATGACATACAGTGAGGTGATGGTAGTTTGAAGTGAGAAGTCAACTGCCATTTAATAGACCTTTTTCCCGTATGAATATACGTTGCCCAGGGTGCACCACGTGCTTTTTCGCGAGTCTTTGACAGGCTCTCTTTCGATCTGTAATGATCAGCCACCGCAACTTCAGTGGAGCAACGGACTTTTGACGCTAGAAGGGTTTCCATAACGGGAAGTGAAACGTTGATTGAAGTTTACTTAAAATTGCTTTCTACTTATCAAATTAATTAGCATAGAACCTAGTAAATATTACTTCTCCCACATTCTATCTAACATTTCTATTATATTTTAGATGATAATGAACAGGTATTCATTTTGGCGCGCTAAAGAAGAGAAGAAGCATTTCTGTATTCATATCACCTCTGTACATAGATTTATTTTTTATTTATTTATATATTTATATATAGCAAGCTACACGTAATTTTTTAAAGTATTTCACTTCGTCTCGGGTTGATGGATTGGAATGTTTAATTAGCGGTTATTTCTTCTTGAACCTGACACGGCTAGTAAGATGAAGAAACGCCCACAGTCTCATAAGGTGCTTTCAATTTTTTAACCGTGAATTCTGGTGTGTTAGGATCATTCTAGACCAACATGATTTCTCGATGCTGGAAAATAATGATTTGAAGCGATAGGATAGATAATTCTTGTTAATCAATTGGTAAATATGTATGGATATATATAATCATTGGTTGTGAAAACTGGTATACTATGGAAATGGATAATATTCCTGTTAATATTTAACCTCCGATTTATTTTTTTTCGGAAAATGCACCCAACCGAACTCATACCTATCACAGTACAGACTGATGCAGCCGATGTGTTGAGTTTTGGTGGTAACAGGCGAAGTCTATAGACGCATTTAGTATATTTCAAACGACAACAGCGTCTTCTATTGCGAGTCTAGTACCAATGGAGCTTATTTGGAAAGAGAGCCGTACTATCCGAAGGGCCTTAAATGGTGAAGCAATCAAGATGGTTATTTTGTGTGCACTTGAGAGAATTCATTACATTTCATTCCTACTACATTGAGTTGTCGATTGTTAGATTCCCCTGCACACGTCTG